AAAAGCTCTCTAGAACAATCACTATATTTTGAAATAGTGATAACACGTAGCTAGTTTTGCCTTTGGATCATGCGCGTGATCACTTTACTTAGAAATAGTGATCACGTGTAGCCTATTGCTTCAAATCAGACTTGCACGTGTTTACTTTTATAAAAAATAGTGATCATGCACAAGTTATTCTTCTCACTCCATCTCTAGAACAATCACTATTATTAGAAATAGTGATAATGCAGGATCCCTTTTTCATGAGCATGGTTACTATTGTTGGAAAAAGTGGTAACGCATAAGTCAGTCCCTGAACTTAGGCTCTAGAATGATCACTTTTCTTAAAAATAATGATCACACCCAATAACTAGCTTCATTAATCCTTGTTCTTTGTCTCCAAAATTGCTACTTTCTCTCTTGATCTTCCAACCTTATGATCTCAGCTTAGAGTTTCCTGCAAAACTAACAAAATCACATCAAATTCTATTAAATTCACACAATTTGAATTATTAATGACAACAATTTACTTTATTGAACATTTATATATTTTTGTGCAGTTTTCACTTTCCAAATTACATTTTTTTTTATCAAAAACAACCTAGAAAACTACATAAAAACCTAGTAAAATCTGCATTTATCAGTCTGCACCTTCAATCCAGGTAAATCTCTATCCAACCTGGCATTTCTGATTTTAGAATTCTTAAGTTGGGGAATTAGAAAAATGTTCATTGCTGTTCTTGAGTGCATGATGTTTGAAATTAATTGTTAAAACTGGGCAATTGGTTGAGAATGTGAGAGATTATAGAGGACATATTTTTTGAATTTGATGGAGATTGATGAACTCATGGAATTTTCATACATGAATGCTTTCAATTCTTGATAAATTGAATTCCTAGTGGTTCACCTCTTGATTCATATGTTGAATTGTGTCATATTTCTTGTTGAACTGAACAAAGAAAATAAGAAATATATATATATATATATATATATATGTTCATAATTGTTTATGTATTACGTCCTTTTTCCATTTTGTGATGAATAATTCATATTCTTTTTCCATTTCTCTATTTATAAATTTTGAGTAAATATTTTGTTTATGTACTTCTTCATGTGATTGTCACACTTCATTTTGAAAAATAAAGAGATTCTTACCATTTGTGCATATGGATTTGTAAGATGAATTGTGAACATGATTGATTGATATTATCACCTTTCTTCCAATGGTAAGAATTTGATCTTTGCAGAATACATTCTCAATACCCAAACAATCTCCTCCTACAAGGAATTCCCTTGAGGTAAGTTCTCCTACTACTTTCCCACATGCTAACACCTTAGATATTACTGTTAGATATGTTTTACCCTTCAGGTACAACAATGGTAAACCAACAAATAAGTATTCTACTTATGAAGAAGAGAGGAAGTCTAAATATCCTATTGCTAATTATGTATCCATTCAAAACTTATCTCACCCTTTCAAGATATTCACAAAGGTTGTGTCATCTTGCCACATCTCAAATAATGTTGAAACGTTAGCTAACCCAAGATGGGCAAGGGCAATTCAAGAGGAGTTGGAGACCCTAAAAAATAATAATGCATGAAGGTTAGTCCCACTACCCAACGAAAAAAAAAAAGTAAGCTGCAAATAGTTTTTAATAAAATACAAGGCTGATGGATTAGTAAAAAATAGAGTTATCAAAAAGCACAACTAGCCTAGCCCTAACCCAAGCCTATATGGGTTAGGGCCAAAAAGCTATAAAGTGTAACGCCCTGAATTTTGTGATATTAATTATTGTTATTTATATAAATCTAAATGCATATATATATATATATATATATATATATGCGTGTGTTGATTTACTTGATAATGATGTTTACGTGTATTAAGTGTATGGATGTGTGTATTGTGTGTATGCATGACTGGATAGCTCTCAGTCTCGAGGGAGTTCATCTCAAGAGAGGAGTAGTGGAAGTGGTTCAGGATCGAGTTCTTTTAGAAGGCCGCTTAAGTGCTTCAGGTGTGGGGGGCCACACATGGTGAAGGACTGCCCACAGCCGAGGATAACTTGTAGCAACTGTGGGAAGTCGGGGCACGTTGCCAATGAGTGTTGGGCCGCCAAGAGGGGAGGCAGTACAAGTACAGCTCAGAGGCCGGAATCAAGAGGAAGTATGGGGCCAAGTACGGGGCAGAAGCCGAGCATTCCTGGTAGAGTCTTTGCTATGATGGGGCAAAGGCTTCACAGTCAGAGGAGCTGATCTGAGGTAAATATATAATTAAAGACAAATTACTTGATGTGTTGTTTGACTCAGGTGCTACACACTCCTTTGTATCCGTGGACTATGTGAAGAGTCTGAATTTATATGTGATGAAATTGTCGTGTAATGTTGTGGTGACTACCCCTACGGGTAAGCCAGTTGTGACGTCATGGGTGTGTCTAGGGTGTGCAATAATGGTACATGGTAGGGAGTTTGAGGTGGACTTGATTTGTTTACCTCTTTCGTAATTGGATGTAATTTTGGGAATGGATTGGCTTACTACCAACCATGTGCTGCTAGACTGTACGGAGAAGACCTTGATCTTTGGTGCGACAATGGCAAAGGTTCCAAGGCTTATGAGCTGAGAAGCGTGGGAGGAGACGGTAAATGCCAAGGCTTTCATGGTTTTGATCTCAATGGAAACCGAAAGCGTGGTGGAGCTGGAGTATATTCCAGTGGTAAAGGATTTCTTGGAGGTGTTTCCTGAAGATGTTTCTGAGCTGCCACCTAGAGGGAGATAGAGTTTGCTATCGACCACATTCCGGGAGCAAGCCCAATTTCTGTGGCGCCTTATAAGATGTCACCGGTGGAATTGTCAGAGGTCAAGAAGCAAGTAGAGAATCTATTGCAGAAACGGTTTGTAAGACCGAGTGTGTCACCGTGGGGAGCACCAGTGCTCTTGGTTAAGAAGGATGGAAGCATGAGGATGTGTGTGGATTACCGACAGTTGAATAAGGTGACGGTCAAGAACAAGTATCCGCTTCCAAGGATTGACGATTTGATGGATCAGCTGAGGGGAGCAGCAGTGTTCTCAAAGATTGACCTGAGCTCGGGGTACCATCAAATTCAAGTGAAGGATACAAATGTACCTAAGACGGCGTTCAGGACGCGGTATGGTCACTATAAGTATTTGGTGATGCCGTTTGGGGTGACCAATGTGCCTGGGGTGTTCATGGACTATATGAACAGGATCTTCCACGAGTTTTTTGATAAGTTTGTGGTGGTGTTCATTGATGACATCCTAATTTATTCAAAGACTCAGGAGGAGCATGCCGAGCACTTGAGGATTGTCCTGTAAATTCTGAGGGAGAGGCAACTATATGAGAAATTCTCCAAATGTGAGTTCTGGTTGTCAGAGATCCAAATTCTGGGACATGTAGTATCGAAGGAAGGGATCATGGTAGACCCTACAAAAGTGGAAGCAATGGCCGAGGCCGATGAATGTGACAGAGGTGCACAGTTTCCTCAGATTGGCAGGCTATTACAGGAAGTTCATTGAGGGGCTTTCCAAGATAGTGTTGCCCTTAATGAAGCTGACCCGCAAGGGAAAGGAGTTCAAGTGGACTAAAGGGTGTGAAGCTAGTTTTCTGGAGCTAAAAATAAGACTGACTTCGGCGCCGGTGTTAGCTCTACCCGACCCGGAGCGAAAGTTTGATGTGTATTGTGATGCATTAAGGCATGGACTTGGTTATGTCTTGATGCAAGACGGGCGAGTAGTTGCTTATGTCTCAAGACAGTTGCGTCTGTATAAAGTCAACTATCCAACTCACGATCTGGAGTTAGCCGCGGTGGTTTTTGCTCTTAAGGTATGGAGGCACTAGCTGTATGGGGCAAGGTTTAAGGTGTTCAGTGATCATAAGAGCTTAAAATACCTATTTGATCAAAAGGAGTTGAATATGCGGCAGAGGAGATGGATGGAATTCCTCAAGGACTACGACTTCACATTGTCTTACCACCCTGGTAAGGCAAATGTGGTAGCCGATGCGTTGAGCCAGAAATCATTGCACGTGACAACAATAATGGTGAAAGAAATGGAAATAATTAAGGAATTTCGAGACATGAATTTGGCCACGGAGGTGAGGCCGGGGAGTTTATATCTCAAAGCGACAATGATTCACAACAACTTCCTGCTGTACGTTCGAGATGCTCAGTAAGGAGATGCGTTCCTGCAAGACATGATGAGACAGAAAGATGAGGGGAAGGACTTGGAGTTCCACCATGATGAGAATGGAGTGATTAAGTTCCAGAACCGAGTGTGCATTCCTCAAGTGGATGAGCTGAGACAAATGGTGCTTGAGGAAGCGCATAAAAGCAGGATGAGTTTCCACCCCGGTGCAACTAAAATGTATCAGAATCTTTGAAAGAGTTTTTGGTGGAATGGAATGAAGAGGGACGTGGCTGGATATGTGGCTAGATGCCTAACTTGCCAGAAGGCGAAGGTAGAACACTAGTGTTCACTTAGGTTGTTACAGCCATTGGAGATCCCTAAGTGGAAATGGGATAGTATTTCCATGGACTTTGTTTCTGGGCTACCTAAGACCAGGAACAACCATGACGCCATCTGGGTGATAGTGGATCGGTTAACCAAGGTGGCACACTTTCTTCCGATCAACATGAAGTATAAGTTGGAAAGACTCGCAAAGTTATATGTGCGGGAGATAGTCAAGCTGCATGGAGTGCCGACGAGTGTGGTGTCAGATAGAGACCTGAGATTTACCTCGAGCTTTTGGGAGAGCTTGCAACAGGCGTTGGGGACTAAGTTAAGACTGAGCTCGGCTTATCACCCACAGACTGACGGTCAGACTAAGCGGACCTCAAGCAGCAGGGAACTTGGGAAGAGTGCTTGCCGCTAGTGGAATTCACGTACAACAACAGTTACCATGCTAGCATTGAAATGACACTGTTTGAGGCCTTGTATGGGCGGAGGTGCAGAACTCTGTTGTGTTGGTACGAAATCAGAAAGGTGACTCTGTGTGCCGAATATGATCCAAAGGCAGAATGAGCAGATCAAAATGATCAGAGATAAAATGAAGGCTTCCCAGGATCGACAAAAGAGTTATTATGACAAAAGAAGGAAGTCATTGGAGTTCCAGGTAGGTGACCATGTGTTTCTGAAGGTCTCACCTGTGACTGGAGTTGGGAGGACTCTAAAATATCAGAAGTTGTCTCCCAAGTTCATTGGGTCATTTGAAGTGTTGAGTAGAATCGATCCTGCAACATATCGGATCGCGTTGCCTCCGAATCTCTCGAATCTACATCCGGTGTTCCATGTGTCGCAGCTTAGGCAATATGTGCCGAATCCTTCCTATGTGATTGATCTTGACCTGGTTCAAGTAAGAGGAGACTTGTCGTATGATGTGTACCCGGTGAGGATTGGGGATCACCATGTTAAACAGCTGAGGGGTAAACAGATATCATTGGTGAAGGTAATTTAGAGCTCAAGTGACGAGGGAGATGCCACATGGGAAACAGAGAGTAGAATAAGAGAGTTATACCCGAAGTTGTTTGAGTAATTCATGTGTGGGGTTAGTTAAATTTCGATGACGAAATTCCTTAAAGAAAGGGAGAGTTGTAACACCCTGAATTTTGTGATATTAATTATTGTTATTTATATAAATCTAAATGCATATATATTAATATGCGTGTGTTGATTTACTTGATAATGATGTTTATGTGTATTATATGTATGGATGTGTGTATGCATGACTGGATAAGGCTAAAATGGGCTAAATGCCTAAGTGTAGGGCATAATGTTGGGCTGTTCTCGCTGTAGCGAGAGGGCCCTAGGAGGAAGGACCAGAACTGTCGCCTTCTCGCTGTAGCGAGAGATGTCTTGCTGTAGCGACAGAGCGATAGTTTGTAGTGCATTTCTGGGTGCAGTCTGCTGTAGCGAGAGGGTCTCGCTGTAGCGAGGTTCTGTAGAAACCAGGGTACAGTTTCATCTGATATTTTTGCTGCAGCGTGAGAGCGTGTCGCTGCAACGAGGCGACCTTGCTGTAGCGAGAGTGTCGCGACCAAGAAAGGATTTAAAGGGAGTTACGGTTCGGGGAGGGTTGTTTCTCCCTCTCCCTTCGAATTTCCTTCGATCCTCTCATTCCCAAACCCTTTTCTACCAGTTAAATTGCCTCCAAAGCCGTTTGGAAGCTTGATTGAAGGTTGAATCTGTGTGGGGAATGCTTGGAGGTAAGTTTTAATGGTTAGGGTTTCGATTTTTCATCCCCTTTCTCTGTTTTATTGGTTTCCATGGTTTCTCATGGAGTTTCTCCATGTGCTTAGGATGAAATCCGTTAGGGGAGCACTTCTTGGTCGGATTTAGCGTGTGGGTCTTCAATCCAAGGTAAGGGGGGACTCTACCCTATCTCAATGTGTTGTAATTCTTGTGTGATTTATTGATTAATGCAATGTGGCTGAGATAGGGAGTAGAAATTGTGTGTTTGATGGAAATTGGTGTGCACTGTGATGTGTGCTAGAATAGTTAGGCCCCGTAGGGGTGATTGTGTGTGATGGAATGTCGTTGATTGGTGAATTAATGATATTATGAATAAATGTGGGCTATGTGCCGTGTAATGTGAAATGAATGTGCGCCTAGTACCATGTATTTGAGTGTCATGTGGGCTGTGGGCTGTGTGTAAGCATGCTGTGAATACCAATTTTTGCCTCGCAGAGATTACTTCTAAAATTTAAAAAAAATTGAAAAAATGAAACAAAATTGTTTTACAACAAAATGAAATTTTTTGAAAAAATGATTTTGCTTTACGGAAACAGCAGCCTGCACTAGACAGGTTTATGCCCCAAAATCAAAAACCAGTTTTGAGCATGAAAAAGGAAAAAACTCAAGATTTTGGCGTTTTGTAAAAGCCCTAAACGAACCCAGTATAAAATCTCAAGAGATCCAAGAGGGGGAGTTTTTCTTTTTTTTGGAGAAAGAAAGCCAAAAATTTCAGAAGAAGAGAAAAAGGGTGAGCTTTCGGAAACAAAAATTGAAAGAGCAACAAATTTTTTTTTAAAAAAAGGAGAGGGATTGTCAAGAGATCAGAAAAAATAACAAACAGAGAAGATTTGAAGAAAAATTTACGGAAGAAGAAGATTTTTTGAAGACAAAAAAAACACACAAAAAAAAGAAGATATCAGAAATAAGCAAGAAGAAGGTAAGAAAATCATTACTAGTTCCATGTATTTCTTTTTTGTCTTATTACTTTGTCCATCATCAAATACCTCTATAAGACAATGGATGACGAAAATAAAATGTTTTAGAGAGAGTTGGGTGTATGAGAAACAAAAGCAAGATAACAAAAATGGAATGTGAAATTCTGAACAATGTTTTTAACTTTCGTTGCTATAAAAAATTTTAAATATAATATGATACTTTTGATGCAATGTGATTAGATTGAACATTAGAGCAAGAAAGCACAGCACGCTACTATCTTGCAGTGCCGGCCTAAGTCAATTTCTTCTTTTTTTTTTCCTTATTTTTCCTTTCCTTTTTCTTTATTCTTCTAAAATTTTTTTCTTCAACCTAAAATATTTTGTTTCTTTATACTTAGTTACGTTACGTCTCTGCAGCATTTCTTTTAATTTATTTTCTATTATATATATATATATATATATATATATTAATCTTAAATGTTTTATTTTCTCTTTCTCATCTGTTATGATATTTTGTTTTATGTTTCTTTTCTTTCTTTTTTATTTTTCTTTTTTTTGCTTTTTTTTGGCTATTTAAAAAATGAAATTTATTATTTTTATTAATTATATCTCAGGTTATATTTTAATTAGTTTATTTCAAATTATATGCTTTATTCATTTATTTTATTTTATTTTTACTATTCTTTTAAAATTAATGCTATTAATTTTATTTTATTTTAACATTAACAATAAAATTTTCCCTAATTTTTTATATTATCTCATTGTTCATACTTTAATTATTATGTTAATTATTTTTCTTTCAGAATTGTTATTTATTTATTTATTTTTGTATATTTGTAGAATATAAATGGTGACTTAATTTTATATTTATGATTTTATATATATATATTATAAATTTTATATATATATAATCAATGAACAAATAAATAATATAATTGCGTCAATTTATAATATTAACGTGTAGCTTCTCTACCGCCGTATGTTATAAATTGACAAAGTCTACGTATACCTACGTTACCGAGACTTTAGACAATATTAATTTATCATATGTTATTAAAATTTAATTATCTTAATAATCAATCAAAATCCATTCTCTATAATTATTATTTTACTAATCAATCAATTTTAATAGAATTTATTTTATTAATACAATGATTTATAATGTTAATGTGTAGCGACTCTACCTTTATGCATTATAAATTATTAGAACCTATGTGTACCGACGTTACCTTAGGTTCTATACAACATAAATTTATCAAACAAAGTTTTAATTTTTTTTATTATTATTAAATATTTTTTAATCAATTCAAATTTATTTATTCATTTCATTAAATGAAATTAATTTCATATTTTAAAATTTCTTGAATCATATTTCTAATTTTGATAAATTAAATAACAAATCATTTCTCTATTTTTATTATATTATACAATTTTTTATAACATCGATGTATGATTTACATTACCTTCGATTGTCCAAAAATTATAAGAGATTAACGTATAGCTTATGCTATCTTTAATTCTCGTCAATATTGATCATAATCAAAATTCAAATTCAAATACTTGATTTACGAATAAAATATTTTTAACGATTTGCAATATAGTTGTGTGATCTTCTTTCACCTTTTGTATTGTTTCTTGCAGGATACATGTATAACTGCATTATCTTGTATTCTAAATATTATAATTTTACAAAATAATTTTAATTTCAAAATAAATTTTCTTTTACTAAACCTAATTTTAATCAACTAATTTCATAATTTTTAGATAGAACTACGTGGCTTTGAGTTTTCCATTACACCCGGGGATACGTATAAGCGGGAATCGGACCTGTCAAGTTAAAATAATTTTTAAAATAACCCAAATAATATCTCAATAAATAATATTATTCTTCTTCTAAAATAAAATAATTAATGTTTAGGGGTTAAATAAATATTTTTCAAAATTAGAATGAATTTGCACAATTAATTTTAGGTAACCGTTTTTAAACGGACGTTGTAGGATGCTAATACCTTCCATACACGTAAATGACTCCCGAACTCATTTTTAGTTACAAAGATCATATTATTTTAAAAGTTTTTCTAAGGTTTTCTTAAAATAAATTTTTGTGGCGACTCCTCTGATATTTTTGAAAACGTTTTTCGCCGTACCATTGCGACCGCCCGGTTGTGACACATGACTATTGCATGCGTGAATGAAATATGTGTGAATAGGCATGTTAGCACCGTTGTAATGTACTGTGAATGGTTCAGCGATACACTGAGAGTGTGGGGATGAGGACGGTAGAAATACCTTGGGGAGGAGAGAGTGGTGGTGACACCGACTGTGGAACAGGTGCACCACGGGCCACACACTCTCTTCCTGACTAGACCTTTGACCACTATCTTTGCTGAGCGACCCGTGACTGCCCACGTGGTATCCATGAGGCGGGGGTAACCGGCGATCATTCATAGTGTAAATCTGTGATCATAGTGTCACAGTGAGTATGGCTGGTGTGCATATGCACGAGTTTGTGTATTGTACTTATAGATGTGAAATGCTGCCTGTGATTGTGTTTGTTTAATGTATTGGTAATGTGCTAGCGGTGAGACTTTATGTTGACTGTGTGCTTTTGGGTAGTAAAGAGTACTCACCCTTATATTTATTTTTAGGTAATCAAGACGATCAGCATCGGACTCAGTGAAGGGATGGATGGAACTGCTATAGAACTTAGGATATTATTTTAGAAAACTGTTGTATTTGAATAAGTTCTGTAGCAGTTATTTGATATTAATTTGTAACCCTTCACTTATTTTAAAATATTTTATGAAAATTTGGTTATCCGACTTGCAAAATTACTATTTAATTGAAATTAAATTTAAGGTGTTACATAAAGTCCAATAAATCAAAAACCCAACAGGTCATGGTTAGAATTAGGGCCTTATGGGCCAAAATAATTATGTAACACATATGAGTAACATCCTATTTAACATGTTCACATCTTGCTTCCAACTCCATCATTTCCTAAATAAAAAATATTGTCAAGTAATACTATAATAGTAACTTAATAGCAAAATCCAAAATAAAAAAAAAGGGTAAAATATGATAGAACAACAGTACTACAAAAGAAGGTGAATATGGGGATCCAACTACTATAATCAAATAGATTTGTCATCATATAACTTTATTGTACTAACAAAAAGATACAATATATAAAATGCATTTCAATTTACCTCTGGAGTTGGGAGCCTTCATACATTGTCCATTCAACAACATATCCATTCATTTAAAATAATTAAATAGTAATATATTT